TGTGATGACCTTTATTAAGAGAAGGTGCTGCAAAGGAACCGAAAAAATAAACAAAAAAGAATAAATTGTGAGGAAAAACAAATATTTGGATCATCTGCGTGCATCTATCCTAACCAAAATAAGAGCTAAAATAGGGAAAGTTCCCTAATAACTAAAGAAAACTTCTGGTTTCCATGAGAAATGAACCTTGAAGAGAAGCAGGAGGGGGCATTTCATCTTTCGATTGTTTAGGTTGTCTCTTTCTCTCTTCCTGAGCAGCCTTTTTCACGTAGTACTCCATCATGGCAATAGGATCTGCACCTGTTGGTGCAGTGAGCTCACCTATAATCGAAAATACAAGTAAGTTTCAGACCAAGCAGTAAAACCAATCAACACTAAAACATTTAGTTAAACTAATACCACAGCAAAAATAGAAAAGCTGAGAAATACAGATGTTTGAACATAGGAATTTGTGCAGAAACCATCTAATAATATGATATGGCCACTACAAAGCTTAGCTTACATGAAAACGAAAATCCAGCAGAAACTTTTATTCTAGGACGTAAATCACAAGCGCACTATGCACTCCCATAACAAAGCAATTTTACGTCGTTTGTCATCTCCAGATAACAAAAATTCAATTAAATACACAACTTGAAGCATAGGCATATACAAAGCTGAAGGGGGAAAAGGCTCGAGAGCATCAAAAGATGTTATATCATATACCTGTCCTTCCCTCAGTGTCATCATATAAAGCAGAGGCGGAAGTTTGGTAGTTCGGATGATTCACAGTAGACCTTTGGGAACTACTTGTGGATTTGGAAGCTGACATGCTAGTACCTCCTATACACATATTAACACCACAAAATCTGAGTCTCAAACCAAACTAATGTTTCAGCGGAAGAGCTAATGAGTGATGCATAGCCAAAAATCACATTCCAGGTTTCATATTATGAATCACAAAAATGGATATTGAATCTTGACAATGGGAGAATACTAGGAGTCCTAGGCACACAAGGACCTTGAATACATTAAAACCAATGGATTTGACAGTCTTGTTCTATTAAAGCAAAACAAGATTTCAAGAGCAACCAAGTTAAAACTTATGTTTTATTATTAGGGCATGAAAGGCAAAGAACAAAAATTGACGCAAGATTTATGACTTATTACTGGAAAAGTTAATCAGACAACAGTATCACACTATCGAGGCAAGAACTTTTAACACTGCACATAGAAAGTGTGTCAGTACAATTATTTGGGTGAATTTTGATTGATCGACGAAAGTAAAATCCTATTTTTTGGCAACAAGTACACACACACACACACACACACTCTCAAATACTCATAAGCATATACAGATGGTGCACTCACTCAGATACACACCCACAAATACAGATGCACAAAACCCATTGTAATGCCTCCACTAAGCTTGATGCTTACATTCACTTTGAATAGGCATGGTTTTGGCAAATTTGTCTTTAATTTTTTATTAAAACAGAAGGCAAAAGCACCGAACTGGAAATCTAGTACCCACCATTACGAGATGTTTGTGAATCCCTGGTCTGTTGAAGTGCTTTCTCTTCAATAGCAAGCTGATACTCGTAATATTTGTAATCAGAACAGCTCTCGTCAAATAAAAATCTGCAAACAAAATAAACCCCCAATGCATATAGCATATGCGCTACCATAAGTGGAAGGAGCAAAACCAGAAAACGACAACAAAAATGATACCCCCAAACCTACAACTATAGTGAACCACACCCCACATCACTCTCCGTTGGCATTTCATAAATGCCAACACACAGATTGTACATAACAGAAAAAATAATTAGGTGGAAACTTCATAGGGTACTTACTTGAAAGGAGTATCTCCTGGATTTTTTTGACGTGTAATATGCTCAAATTGTCTTCCATGTTTAGCCACAAAACTTGCTAGTTTGTCAGCAACTATCTTCACTGTTGAATCAGTTGGGAAAGGTGGTGCTGCATATCACTTATAAAACTGATTAATACCAAGAGCATGAACAAGGGAATGCAAATTACTCTTGTAGCAGGGGTGCCACATATTCCAATTCTTTCTTTGAACATCTCTTTCCACCAATGTTGATAGGAACTTAAGGAATTAGCTGCATTAATGAGACAAGAAATATTCAAGAATGTTTTGTCCTTTTCATCCACACCGCTTAAGAGTAGAGAACACAATTACTGAGATGATTTTCTCAATAACAGGGTACTTACTGGAGGGACAATTTCAAATTACTTAAATTGTTTTTACTGGCCACTTCTATCTCTTTCAGTCAAATTTTAATTGATCGTTAAAGAAGAACCAGTAATATACAAACACCTAACAGTCCTACACCTCCCCTTCTCAACTAGCAGACTAAAAAAGTGGTAAATGGCACCACACACCACATATAGAAAATAAAAGTCCACAGGCTCTATCAGGATACTAGAAATCCAGACTCCAACTCGCCTTACAGATGTGTAAAAAAAACATACAACAAAATTTCATATTGGTGAAGAGATATAACTTCAACTTGCACCACGAAAACAACTTACGAGAATGAGGGGCATGATCTTTTTTTAACAAAATAAGAGGAAAACTAAACGAGTCAAGAAAAACATTTAAGGAAAGAGGAAGAGCAGTATAAGACAACTATTTATGATGAGGTGAAAAGGCAGAAAAATAGTTTGAATAATAAAAGTGCAATTAACAAATCAGGAGTTGATGTATGAAGAAATCAATTCTTGTCATACATCATTTTCGGTTGAATAGAAAATATGCAAAAAGTACATAGTTAATAATTTCAAGCATTAAAGTTATTAGCAATAAAATAGAATTGCAGCAAAATAGAAAAGGCTGATCTTCCAATTTTGTTCTTGAAAAAATTAACTGAAACTGGAAATACTTTTAATTGCAATCAACAAAGTTAAAGGATATGCATATAAGCAGTAATTACCAACATCCACTTGTCTGTATGATTCCTCTACGGCATCCGGCTGACCCAACTTTTGCCGTTTAGTTGGTACACCAGCTGCAACATTTGCAGCATCTGCTTCATCTTCATCCTCATCCGCACCTAACTTAACAGGTGGTGCGACAATCTTTGACTTCTGTTTCAAGCTGAAAGCAAGTTTGCTACCTGAAGCAGCGGCAACCTTGCGTGCATCATTAGCCTTCAGTTCAGCACTGGTTTTACCGGTGGTGGTAGGAGTCAAGGTCCCTGGAACAACTTTACTTGGTCTAGACTCGTCTGCTGCGGAACCTTTATCTTTATCCTTCTCTTGTTGAAGTTGTCTGAACCTTTCCATGAATGAACCATCATTAACAAAGAGGCTAGGAGTCACTCCTTTGTCCATTGGAAAAGAGCCAAGTTTGCTTAGGCTGTTTACAGGAATTCACTGTTTGACAAGTAAGCTTTCAAAGCATTTAGACATTGAAGTGATTCTTTTATCTGATCTTAGCAATTTTTTTTTTTTTAATTTACGGTTAACGTATGTCTTTCAAATTATCACTCAAAAGGATAATAAAACAATGATAATCCCACATTTTTGCAAAATGCTATGTATGGGGATGGTTTCAGAAACAACCACAATGTGCATATCCACACAGCTTATGAGTGGGAACTTCAAAACCAGTGCAGCGGATCCCAAGTGAAACAACCACACTGGATGTACCGATTAGTACCCAGTGCGGGCATTTGGAAAACGAGGCCAACTCCCAGCCATTGTACCCAAACAAACACTGAACACCTTGGACTTCGATGACACCATGGAAAACCAAATTCATACTGTTTTTATTAGATTATTTCAAACCTTAAAGCTTGTGACTTTTGAGGTGATGTTTTCTTAATAACTTAAATAAACATACATCACAAAAGTTAAACAAACTGATATCGATGATACTTGATCTCAAAAAACGTTTAAGTGATTGAATGGATGCATGGTGCACCAAATGAAATGAACTTAAGCTAACAATCTTCATGAGTAGAAGGCACAAAAAAAAATTCCATCTTGCAAACCATTCTAACATAATCCGAGGTTTCGAAACCACAATCCAAATGCAATTAACTTATTCAGAAGCGCCATCCACAACTTCCAGGTTCAGTTTAATTTCACCTATCCACTTTAATTATAGTTTTAAACCTAAAAGAAGAACCACTTATTTCAACAAAGCATCCAAATTAATCATCATAATCCACAAAGTCTCAGTCTTATTATGCGGTTTGCACACATACAAATCTAAACACCCAGATATAATCAAATACAAATCCTAAACCAAATCGAATTAATAAAATTAAAACCATTTTACCACTCCATTAATACAAAAATGTAAACTTCCGAACCCTATTCAACCAAAAGAATCATCCGAATACCAAACACCACCACGAATCAACCCGCGAAAGCCAAAACACCAGAATCCCAAAACGAGAGACGCAACAATATTAATAATGGAGCAACCAACTGGAAACTAACCAGAACGAAATCGATTCACTCAGATCGTTGATGCTCCTCCGATTGGTCGATTGGAGATATGTTTTACCTAATTAGGGACTGGAATCGGGGATGCTCTCTCTCTCTAGAGGACAACGAAAAGCGAAGACCGCCTGGATTTTGCAATTGTAGGGTCGGTTTCGTGAATATATAGGCTTCATTTACGATTTACTACATAAACTCTCTTTTTTTTTCCAACCAAAAGAAAAGAAATAATCCTTCTTTATTTTTGTCGAATTTTTTTCTTTTTGTTTGATTTATTGAAAATTTATTACCAAAAATGTATTTTGCTATCCGAAAAATATTTTGAGTTTTCAGTTCTATTCTCGATGCATAGCACGGTGTGAAATTTTTTTGAATCTTTGCATGATTACGTGAATTCGACCGATGATGACTAATCTAACATCTAATTTAATAAAATCTATTATTTGACAAAAATAAAAAATATGTTTTCGTTGGTGGAATATTCCTTTTAACAGGACATGTTAGAATTTTAGGTTATTGGGGAGAATTGCTTAACTTGAAAATGAAAAAACGTGGAGTAGAGTTGAAAACTCGAGACATATTTTAAGAATTTAAGAGTTTAATAATGTTGCAGATGAAAATTTTACTAGATCAAAGTCATTCCGTGTACCGGACACACTCAGAAAATCTCTACTTCCTACTTCATTCTCATCTTTCGACGAGCTCTCCTTCCTCCTCTCTGCGCTCCCTCCTCCCTACTTCTTCCTTCTCATCTTTTTGCGACTGCTCTCCTTCCTTCTCCCTCCCTCTCTCTCTGAATGCTGTGATGCCTGAGGGCTGTGCGGGTAAGTCTGTGGCTGCTGCATACCCTGCCTAAACATCATCATCATCATCTGCTGCTGGTTCATCTGCTGCTGCGCTGCCTGTATTTGCTGAAGATAACGACTGCTCTCCCCCCTTCTCCCTCCCTCTCTCTCCGAATGCTGTGGTGCCAGGGGGCATGGCAGGTAAGTCTGTGGCTGCTGCATACCTTGCATAAACATCATCATCATCATCTGCTGCTGCTGGTTCATCTGCTGCTGCGTCGCCTGTATCTGCTGAAGCTGGGTCTTTAACTCATCTAACTCTGTAGTACGAGCCTCTTCATTCCTCCTCAATTTAAGGTTCTCAGCCTGCACAATGGCTTCTCGACTACTCGATGATCTCTTTGATGAACCAGTAGCAGCATACGGCACCATCACAGGTGTCACCCCATGTCCATAACCTCGAACTCTATTCCTATTCTCAGGACCCATCTCCTCGACATAGACTTGAGTTCGAAGTTCAGGAGTGTCTTCTCCTCCATCCTCAACCTTAGATTGAACGACACTCTCCATAGATGCCTTACCATATAACATTTAAAAATAAAAATGAAAGATTAGTAGTCACAAGACAAAGATAAATAAATTGAAAGATTATCAGTCATAAGATAAATGAAAACACAAATATTTATAAAATCAAATACCCCTTTTTGTTGAGCCGTTTCATCAACCCATGTACTATCTTTCCGTGAATGGGTCATGCGAAAGAAAGCAATAGGATCTGGTTCTTCTCCATGCTCCTTCCTCTTAAATTATAAGTCAATGAAAACAAAACAAATAATTTTCAATCATAATACATAATATTAAACAAATTGTAAATTAATAAGTTACTAATGAACTACACACACATATTCTTCCCGAACTCTGACAAATGTCTTTGATCCTGTTGTGTGGTTCATAGTTTTGGTTTGACGATTGATCCTATTTTTTTCAGCCTTCTCCTGAAAAGTAAGAAAAGAAAATATCAAACGAATGTAAATCAATATTGAAGATTATATCGTAAATTTTTTTACCATCGTTTTTGGATTATCCCAATATCGCACCATCTCCACCCACTGGCCGGGATCCACATTAGGAGGACACTGTAAGCGATCCTCCCCTTGTCTGCGACTGTAGAAGATTTTCTTCAAATAATTCCTATATTCTTTATGTGCATGCTCGGCAATAGAAAGCGTCATAAGGCGGATGAGGGGCATTTTAACCAGATCTTCATCACGAAAAGCAATAGTGTCCTACATTAAAAAAAAAAAAGCTAGTTAATTATGTTTATAAGTATTTTGCTAATGATGTTATTTAAATGTACAACAAAATACATACACGTATTGTATTCCAGAAAACTTCCTTGACATCTTCATCAATCAATCGCCAATCAGTCTTCAAAGGAAGATTTCTGGGATCCTTGACCTCAGACGCAATCAACTTAGAAAAGTTGACACTATTGGCACTAATGCATTTCCCAGTCGGACCAAATTCACAATATTCTTTTCCTCTCCCATCTTTGCTGGCCCATTTTATTTTGCCAGGCCCACGAGTTTTGCGTTGAGTTCTCAATTGAAGCATCATTCCTTATCAATAAAATCAAATATTTGTAATGCACAAAAGTGTACATAACGAGAAATATATATATTTAAAAGAAAGACAACTGGTGAAAAGTTACGGTTATCTACTTTTTTTGAAGGCTAGAAAGACTCTTAGGTACCGTTTGGTACGCAGACGGGACGGAACGGGATGGGACGGAACATATGATATAAATATTGAAAAAAATAAGGAGAAATTTTGTCATAAAATGTTATAAATTTGTATTCCACGGATGTGGAACGGATCGTTCCAGAGGGAAGAGGTGGAACGAAAAATCAGCCAAATTTCGTCCCATGGGACAACCCATTCCACATTTTTTAGGCACACCAAACGTGGGACGGAACGGCTCATCCCGTTCCGTCCCGTCCCACGTACCAAACGGTACCTTAGAGATGCCACAAGTCTTGCTTCACACTAGCAGCGGGTTTTGAACCCGAAACCTCAAGTTTCTAGTTTTACGGAAGTCTTGTAATCCGTCCTTTAGTACTGAACAACCAGCTCAAAGTTGAACAAGAAATATATATGAAGTCTATTGATTCTGTGATCCTCATAAAGTAATATGGTTGGATGGTGAGTGAATAACCAAGTATAATTCTCCTCATTTGAATGGAAAGTAGACTAATCAATATACTTCATATATATTTGTTTCGCCAACGAAGCATTTTGTGGTGTTTTACTAGCAAATAAAAATAATCTACAAATACTCTAAAACTCACCACTTTCGGAATGCTCAGATTGCTCCTCGAATTGTTCATCCACAGCTTCATCATTAGTACTCATCTAAAATAAATGGGATAAAAAAAAAACACTGATTTTCATTACACAGTTTAATTTCCTTAAAAAGAACACAATAGTACATATAACTATTCGAAAGATAAATGAGATTAATCCTCCAATCCCTAATTTAGGTAGAATCTGAAAGCCCTAATTTTGTACCAATTCAATAACAACGATCGAAAACCCTAATTTTGTACCAAATCAATAACAAAATTTAGGTAGAATCTGAAAGCCCTAATTTTGTACCAATTAGCAGCAAAATACAGCAGAATACCTTGTAAGGAGATGAAGAGCAGCGGCGGCGAGGCTGGAAAAGAGATGCCCGAGGGTTCCAAGGGAAGGAGCAGCGGCGCAGTTCCAAGGGAAGCGAAGGTGAAGGTGAAGGAGAAGGAGATGCCCGAAGGTTTTGAAATAGGGTCAAATTTCATGTCGGATAAATCCTCATATCCGACACACTAGAATATAAAATACCTAAAAAATCCTTTGTAAAAAGTCACTATCCAACATGAATGCGCTCTTCAAAGTTAAGGCACATATGGGCGGGAATTTTGCCGCTTCACATTGGTGTCAGATTAAAAGTGAGCTAATGTCGGTTATGTCCGACATTTGCTGTTTATGTTGAGGGAGGATCCTCTTTGTGAGAATTATAGGAATTCTTAAATCGTGTCCATTTATCGTACATCTTGCAATCAGAAATTATTTTAAATTAAATATGATTAGTACCTGACGAAAACTGGCCACATGATGTACGATGAACGGACGCGATTTAAGGATCCCCAGAATCCTCACAAAGAGGATCCTCAGAGGATCCACCAGGTAAGAATCCAGATCCTCTTTGTGATGATCTTGGGGATTCTCAAATCGTGTCCATTCATCGTACATTGTATATCGTGTGGTCAGAAATTATTTTAAATATTTTTATTTAAAATTAAACACAAACAGTACTTGACAAAAACTAACCGCACAATGTACAATGAACAGACACGATTCACGGATCCCCATAATCCTCACAAATGATCCAGAGAGGATCCTGTTGGTATGTCTAATCTAACCGACACTATTGCTTTATTATTTGACACTAGGTAAATTACCTGCTAGAAAGGAATCCGGGTTCTCGCCGGATCCTCCTTGTGGGGATTCTGGGAATCCATGAATCATATTCGTTCATCGTATATCGTGCGGTCAGACATCATTTTAAATATTTTTATTTGAAATTAAATATAAACAGTACCTGGAGAAAAAAAAATTGATTGCACGATGTACGATGAACGGACACGATTTACGGATCCCCAAGATCCTCACCAAAATGATCTGAAGAGGATCCTGTTGGGTTGGAAGAGTCTTATCCAACATCATATTGTATAAAACCATCACCACTCTCCGAGCTAATTTTGTAGTAATGGTAATTAACTTCCCTTTCTCCTTCACCTTCAAAATTATCTATTCCAATCAAATTATGTGTACCAAAAAGTTTTGTATGCTTTAACTTTTAGACTATTTATCTTTTTGCGTATGTGCTAAAAGCTTGACTTCTACTTAATCGGCCTTTGATAAGGAGAAATTTTTACGTGTATTTGAAAGACTTATCACGTATTATACAGTTATAAGTTTTATAATATAAGTGTACGATATATATAGTGACTCAAATCTAAGGTATTGGTTTCATTGGTAAATTAAGAGAATAAGTCTTGCTTAATTAAGTGAACCTGCAGGTTTTCAATCCTTTAACTGGGAAAGAAAAAAATGGGAAGGAAAAGAAGAGCAAATAAATAATGAATGCCGAAATAAATGAACCTCCATACAGCACTCCCTATCCGGCTTGCCGACCAATGCCACATATGCATGACTGATTAAACATGCAGAGCAGCAGTGGGGACAAACTTCCAACGACCAAAACATGTTCCATCCCCATCTTATAATGCTAAAAAAGTTTCAGAGTCGGGCCAGTTTGTACTACAGTTTAGTAGAAATTTTAAATTCAAGTCTTGTAAATGATGGGTTTAATACTGATTTATTTTCCATCTACATAGTATAAATAATATCATTGTATACAAACACAATAGGGTAAGACACGAATAGGGACTCCATGAATTGGAAAATCTATTTGTTGGAGAGTTGCCCTTTGTAATTAGCTTAGTTACCTGTTTGGGTCTTTGTAATCAGGATGTAATTAGGATAGATATTATTTGGTCTTTCTTTCTTTGTAAATCAATCTTGTACAATATATATTTCCCTCCTTGACAAGAAGAATAACATCAGAAAATTAAATCCCAAAATAAGCCATAATCAGTATGGTATCAAAGCAGAGATCCTAGGATTTATGCTCTACCCGTTCCCTCAAGCAAACTCAGCCCTCCCATGGAGAACCTACCACCACCCTATAGTGGAAACAATTTCATCCTAACCAATCCTACCCTTATACTAAACACTACAACTCGAACTGACCCTACCATGAATCCTCTTCATGTTTCGAGTTCTTCCGATATGCCTCTGGAGTCCTCAGGTGACTGTGGTTATGTTTTTAATATGAATAATTGTGATACTCAATCTGGTTGGATCATGAACTTCGGTGCCACAGACCATATGACCTATGACCCCACTGATTTAGCTTGTGACATTGTTCCACTTCGACAAAATATTACTAATACTAATGGTGTCACCTCACCGGTAACTGGCGATGGCACTGTACACCTCACACATACCCTCTCTTTGCCGCATACACTACTTGTACCTTCACTAAAGCATAAATTGATGTCTCCTAGCCAAGCTACTGAGCAATTGAACTGTTCTGTACTATTGTATCCGAAGTTTTGTCTTATTCAAGATATTCTCACGAATGAGATAATTGGTCGTGGTACTAAGAAGGGGGATCTCTATTTTGTGGACGATGTCAGTACAGGACTGGTCAATCTCTCCCAATGAACCGTTGATCACAAACGGCGTCAGATATGGTTATGGCATCACCGTTTAGGTCATCCGTCTTTCAGTTATTTACAACATATGTTTCTGGATTTATTTGTTGGTTGTTCGGTTTCAGACTTTAAATGTGACACTTGCGTACTTGCCAAGAGTCACCATGTTTCTTATATGTTGAATTCTAATAAAAGTGTTATTCCTTTTGGTCCTGTTCATTAAGATGTTTGGGGACCATCTCCGATTACTACTTCATCTGTTATTAGGTGGTTTATGACTTTCATAGATGATTGCACACGGATGACATGGTTATACCTTCTTAAGCATAAAAGTGATGTGTTTCTGGTGTTTAAGACATTCCACACCATGGTTCAGACACATTTTTCTACTAAAATCCGGATTTTGCATTCTGATAATGGTGGTGAATATGTTAATAATGATTTTACACATTATTTAACTAATCATGGAATCCTCCACTAGACTACTTGTCCTTAAACTCCTCAACATAATAGGGTGGCTGAGCGCAAAAATCGCAATCTATTAGAAACGGCTCGATCGTTATTGATTGGGGTGCCTGTTCCTCGCTCCTCTTGGGATGTTGCTCTTCAGATTGCCACTTACCTTATCAACCGCATGCCATCCAAAGTATTGAATTTTCTTACACCTTTGCAAGTTCTTGCTACATTCGTGCCTTTATAGTCCGTTTTAGTGCTCCCACCGCGAGTTTTTGGATGTGTTGCCTTTGTTCATCTACATAAAAATCAACGGACAAAACTTGTTTCATATGCTCTCCGTTGCATTTTCATGGGGTATGGACTACATCAGAAAGGGTATTGTTGCTACCACCCTTCTTCACGTCGGATGTATACTACCATGGATGTTACTTTTTTCGAGTCTGAGATGTATTACTCTTCGGCTTCTTCCAACCCTCATCTTCAAGGGGAGACACTGCATGACAAATAGGTTTGGACCATGGATGCTACCCCTGATCTTCCATTGCCATTATTAGCCGACCCATTAATCGAGCCTGCAGTGGTTGCACTACCAGCCCAGCCAACAGAAGCAGCATCGCTACCCACAGAACCAGTGGCAGGCACAACAGTGCCATCCTTACCCACGACAACAGTGCTGCCACTTGCCGATCTTGAGACTTTTACTGATACTACTCCCCCCTCGTCTCAAAATATAGTACCACCAAATGACCACCCTCGTCTCAAAATATAGTACCACCAGATGACCATACTCCAGAGAATATTCTTGAGGTAAGATCTACTATCCCAATTGATGTATCTGATGTTCCGAATTATCAGTTACCTTTCAGGCACAACTAGGGAAAACCGCCCAATCGATATTCACCAGAAACAACGAAATGCTCTAAATTATATGTCATCACATAAATTATTAGAACCCAGCAAAGCTTTTGTACAACAAATATCCAATGATAGCACACCAAGTTCATTGAATGAGGCACTATTTAATGATCGATGGACCAAGGCAATGGAGGAAGAAATGGATGCACTTCAGAAAAATCAAACATGAGATTTAGTTCTGCTACCCCGAGGAAATAAGAGAGTGGGATGTTGATGGGTGTACACCATCAAGTACAAAGCTGATGGGTTGATTGAACAATACAAAGCACAATTGGTGGCCAAGGGATACACTCAGACATATGGTGTTGATTATACAGAAACATTTGCTCTGGTAGCAAAGATTAATACGGTAAGAGTGTTACTTTTATTGGCCAATAATTTGGATTGGCCATTACAACAATTTGATGTGAAAAATGCTTTCTTACATGGTAATTTTAAAGCAGAAGTGTATATAGACATTCCACCTGGTTATGCATTGGTTTCACAACCCGAAATGGTGTGTAAGTTGAATAAGGCATTGTATGTATTGAAACAATCACCTCGGGCATGGTTTGGTTGGTTTCAGACGGTTATGATGAAGTATGGGTTCAAGCAGAGCAATTCTGATAATACACTTTTCTTGAAACGTCGAATGAGTAAATTGACGACACTTATTATTTATGTAGATGATATGATTGTTACAGGTGTGATAAAGAGTAAATCTCAAGGTTGAAAGATTAATTAGCAACTGAGTTCGAGATGAAAGATCTTGGTGGATTGAAATATTTCTTGGGTATAGAAGTAGCTCGATCTAAACAAGGTATATTTATATCTCAAAGAAAATATGTTCTTGACTTGTTAGATGAAACCAGCATGCTTGATTGTAAACCGGTTGACACCCCTATAGTCCAAAATCACCATCTTGTCGTGCACCCTGATCAAGTTCCCACTAATCGAGATCGTTATCAAAGGTTAGTTGGGAGGTTAATTTATTTATCTTATACTATGCCTGATATTGCATATGCAGTAGTGTTGTTAGTCAATTTATGCATTCCCCGAGTGATATGCATATGAGTGCGGTTGAACGCATTCTATGATACCTAAAGTCCTCCTAGGGTAGAGGCATCATGTTTTCCAAGAATGGTCATTGCCGGATAGAAGGTTATACCGATGCAGATTGGGCAGGGAATATTACTGATCAACGGTCCA